CCATAAAACACAACTTCCTCTCAAAGCCTTCAAGTTAGTACAGTGGTAACGTGGAGGCCTCTCATCCGAGGAGTCGGCGGGTCGCGCCCCGACCAGGCGCGAGAAGTTGCAATTGTCACCCGAAGCTTACTGCTGTGGCTGGGCACCATGGTGGGTAAGGACAAAGCTCTGTTGCACTAGCTGACACACGTTGATCGAGTCATCATTAGTCGGCACAGGCCGGGCGAGGCTAAGCTTTGCATATCGGACCTATCCTTATCCTTGCCTCATCACTCGATTTCTTTGCAGTAAAAAGATCACAATGAAGTTCCTTGCTGTTTTCCTCCTAATGACCTTCCTCGTGTTTGGGACTTTGGGCTTCGTTTTGCCGATCCCGCTCTGCTCAAGGGACTGGACGTCAGTCTTGCGCTGGGAGATCAGCCGATATTTGTTTCTGCTAATTATGGACGCACACTTGCACATTCATAACAGTTTCAGCAACGTCACTACTAGAATCGACAAATAGGTTTGTTTAAACCTCTTTCTTGGAAAAAGGAAGAATGGCAGCTTTATTGATAAGTGGATTACAAAGAAAATATTTCAAAAACCTTTTACTCCTCTATCAGAACACTTACATCAATGTGCGAAAAGTACTGCTGAAATTTTCGTTACAGGAAGATGAATCTGGTTTTAAAATAAGTCTGAATTGCAGCTTAGCTCATGTTTTTCACTTTTTTTTCACGCTTTAAACAACCTGGATCTTTAAACAGTAGGATTAATCTGGTTTACAGCGATATATCTTTTGTGAGGAAGGATTATGATTTAATGGGTTGATATCAAATTCTCAGTTCACGTTTTTTTTTCCAAAAAGCTCTTTACATAACTATGATTCCAAGTGGTTTTAATAACTATTACCTCTTATGGTTTATTTTCTTTCAACTACTTTCATCTAAACACCTTAAGATCAATGGATTTACTCTGGCATAGCTTACTTTCCTTTATGTAGAAGGAGTGTGAACAGTGTTTGGTTTCCTCTGGGTCTTCAGTACGTGGTCCTTTACAAATGAAGGTAATGATAATGATTTTGTGTTAGTTTTAAAGAGGGGAGACAAACTAACAAAATTTGGCGCTAACAATAACAACAGTAGCAATAACGATGATAATAATAATTTTAAAAATAATAGCAGTAGTAATGATAATAATAACCATAATAATAAAAATGGTAACAATAGTAATAATAATAATAATGATAATGTTGAAATGCAATAATAGGGATAACAAAATAACAATCGAATGCAATTCATATTTAATATAATGATAATTATGATAATCTTAATGATACTAACAATGATAATACCTATGATAATAATAACAATAACAATAGAAAACAATAAAATAATAATAATAATGCCAATAACTAAAAAAAAAAAAAACAATAAAGTAATAATAATGATAATAATAATAATGGTAAAATCAAGAGGAACAATGCCAACCATAATGATAACAAGATCCAGCAGGACCCTCAAGGACCCCTATAAACACCCATGGACAGGATGCTGTTCGACTCGTTATCTTTAATGTAGAAAACGAAGGACCGGTTGCCCTTTAACGTCTTCTCTGGACGCACTGGACAAATCCCTTTCAGAACGGACGCCGTCGCCGCTGCCGTCTGTACGCCTTCGTCCACCTGAATAAGGGCCTTGTGGATCGCTCCACTCACCAGTAATCCTCCGTCAGGTGCAAAGTTGGTCAGATCGACGGTGGAGGAGAAAGGTTTACGCATTCTCATTTTCTTTAAAGTCTGGAGAAGGAAGGCATAGATACGATGCTATTTTCAAAAGGTATTTTGCGTCATGATTTCGCTACAAGAAGCAAAGCAGTTTTTAATAGGTTGTCAGTATTTCATTTCATGAAATAATCGTATATTACTCCCTCAGTTTAGATTTAAAATAGTAGCAAGACTTAGTTTAATCTTTCAGGGATATCTATTACCAATATGTTAATTCAAAAGACAGAATAGAAAAAAATAGGAATGTAAGTAATTTGTTTGCTAGAATATAAGTCATTCCATTCTTTAATCACTGAAATACCAGACTTAACTAGCCTTATTCACTAAAATACCAGTCTTTCCTAACCTTATTAAGTAAAATACGACCCTTTGCTTACCATTCCCAAACTCCCAGGTTCGCTTACCTTGCCCTAATTCAAACATACCGAAATGAGTTCATTGTCGAGAGTAGTCTCCACGCTGAACTTGGAAAACCTGACTCTCAGCGAGGCGGAGGGCATCGCCTTCAACTCAGAAGCGAGTCTCTTGGGCTTCAGGCGTCGGACCAGCCATTCAACCGTCTTGGATCCCCTTCCACATCGCGGGAGGAGCACCACCATGGACGCCTGTAGGACATCTCAAATCTCCAGCACGTGGGCGCGAAACTTCTTCGAGTCCACTGAAACGGAGTTGGACATATTTCAAAGAGACACCTAATGTACACATAACTGATTTTGATTTGCGATACAGACGCAATGAAAATGGAAAAATTATGTAACAAGGGACACTCTGGACAAAAAGAAAGGTAGGGTTCATTTTCTATAAAGGAAGAACTCCCATACATTACCATATTTGAAATTTCCCGTTTGCGACATCATATGACAGACAGACTGTTTCGGGGATACGAAAAACTTCTCCTTGTGGGTACTTTGAGACTTGAACGGGTATTTCCAAATGCCTTTGAAGTAGACGGCGTTAGTTAAGACCATTTTAGCGCCTCCAAGAAAGGAGGGTTGTATAATGTATGGTATTTTTCCTCGCGTTTCGGCGCTGAAGAAGGCATTGATGTAAGCAGCGGCGGATTTTTGATTATTTCGGTCTCTGGAGTTTAAAGAGCCTTTAAAGAAATGTATCTGTGTTAAAATAATAAAAGGAGTTTTTTTCTTGTCCAAGGGCGTCTTCTGTACGCGTCATAAAAGTAAAATCCAGATTAAAGTTTCATCCAAATCCACAGTACTTTCACAGGTGTAGTACACACTACCAGACGCACGCGTCCATGCGATTATCAGTAAATCTGCTCTTTTACAATTAAGAGCGGGTATTTGTTTTCGAAATTAGCAAACTCTTTGTCTCATATCACACGCTAAAGCTGTTAACGAGACGTTTGCTACAAATAAAACTTATATAAATATTTACACATATACGGTAGTCTTATAGCATGACGATGTGTATTTGTGTTACTACAAATAAATCTATATAAATGGCTTCAGATACTTTTTGAATTTTATGGGCAACAGAACTGTAGGTGTCAAACAAAGGATACATCAGTTTATTTTCGCGGGAAAGTTTTCCCCGAGAGCTTTTTCGTGTGAGTGATCGTGGGGCACGGGGTAGGGAAGTGTTTTTTGTTGCTATCGAGGAATATGACAACAAAATTTCCATGCAGTTTATATTACAAGGCATTGTGATAAAAAGATTCAGAAATTTTGTACTTGAATTTGAAACCTAATCGTGATGTTATTGAAAGCTTTCTTTTTTAAGTCTACTGATATGATACATACGTTGGGGTTGTTTTTCCAACCTGGATATAACATTGCCTTTCCTGTATCTGTAAACTCTGGAATTCTTTGTTGGACTTTCTTTCGTTTTTTTTTTTATTATTATTATTATTATTATTATTATTATTATTTTATTGTCGAGTTATTTCTGCAGTTTAAGTATCCCACGACTTATGAAAATGTATGTTGATAAAAGTTCATACACACCTTTAGCATGAAAATGCCAGAATTAGTTTAATCATTCGTAATAATAAACATTTATGGCAATTTGACTTCATCCTTTTTATGCTCATTCTGAGCATGCCAGGATTAAATTACGAGCTCAAAAGTGAATGCTGGTCCAGAGATGTAATAAAAGTTGATCCTGGACGCTGCCATTGCGCATGCGCTCTAGAGATCTGGATTAAACTTGAATACTGGATTAACTTTTATGGCACGTACAGAAGACGCCCTAAAGCACTGAAGAAGTTGGTTCATTCTACATACATTAAATGATCACCACAGAAGGCTTTTCTCTGTTACTCAAGATCAGCCGATATTTGTTTCTGCTGATCATTAACGCACACGCGCATTCATAAAAGTTTCAGCAATGTCACTACTAGGATCGATAAATAGGTTTGTTTAACCCTCTTTCTTGGAAAGAGGAAAAATGGCACGCTTTAAACAGTCTGGAGCGTCAGTAGGATTAATCTGGTTTACAACGATATATCTTTTTTGAGGAAGGATTATGATTCAATAGGTTGATATACTTCATCTGATTCTCAGGACACGCTTTTTTTTTTTTTTTTTTTTAATGCTCTTTACATAACTATGATTCCAATTGGTTTTAATAACTATTACCTTTTAGGGTTTATTTTCTCTCAGTTACTTTTATTTAAGCAACTTAATATCAATGGATTTACTCTGGCATAGCTTACTTTACTTTATACAGAAGGGGTGTGAACAGTGTTTGGTCTCCTCTGGGTCTTCAGTACGTGGTCCTTTACGGTATAGTCAGGGGCATAAAAATGATGGTAATGATGATTTTGTGTTAGTTTTAAAGAGGGGAGGCAAACTAACAAAATTTGACACTAACAATAACAATAGTGGCAATAATGAGGATAACAATAATGTTTATAATAATAGCAGTAGTAATGATAATAATAACCATAATGATGAAAATGGTAACACTAGTTGTAATAATAATAATGATAATGTTGAAATGCAATAATAGAGATAAGAAAATAACAATCGAATGCAATTAATATTTAATATAATGATAATTATCATAATAATAATCTTAATGATAATAATGATAATACCTATGATAATAATAACAATAACAATGATAATACCTATGTCAACAATAACAATGATAATACCCATGATAATAATAATAACAATGATAATACCTATGATGATAATAATAACAATGATAATACCTTTAATAATAATAACAAGAATAACAAGAAAATAATAATAATAATAACGTTAAAATCAACAAGAACAATGCCAACCATAATGATAACAAGGTCCAGCAGAGGACCCTCAAAGACCCCTATAAACACCCATGAACAGGATGTTGTTCGCCTCGTTATCTTTAATGTAGAAAACGAAGGGCCGGTTGCACGTGAACGTCGTCTTTGGAGTCATCGAAGACTTAGTTATAACGAGCACCGTCGCCGCTGCTGCCTCTGCGCCTTCTTCGTCCACCTCCATAAGGGCCTTGTGGATCGCTCTAGTCACCATTAATCCTCGAACATGTGTGAAGTCGGTCAGATCGGCGGCGGATGAGAAAAGGTCACGGATTCCCATATTCTTTAAAGTCTGGAGAAGGAAGGCGTGGATACGAGGCTATTTTTAAAGGTATTTTGCGTCATTATTTCGCTACAAGAAGCAAAGCAGTTTTTAATAGGTTATCAGTATTTCATTTCATTAAATAATCGTTTATTGCTCTCTCAGTTTAGATTTAATATAGTTTAATCTTTCAGGGATATCTATTACCAATATGTAACGATTTTGCAACTAGATGCGCAGAATCTTTACTGAAGTAATGGTATGATATCTAAGTTCGGAGTCTTAAACTCAAAACCCTTTGCGGGCCAATTTTCCCTTCAGCCACCATCTTGAGGCCAACAGAGGTTTACATCTGGCTTCCCAGGATTACGTTTCTTAAACTGGTATTATGTGATTGAACGTTAAGTTTATTTTACCTATCACATTTTGAATAATCCTAATGGTAACACATTATATATGACTATTCTTTTCATGACGATCCTAACTTCACAGGCGTTGGATCAGCCCAGTGGACACACTTAGCCCGCATACCATATATATATATATATATATATATATATATATATATATATAATATATATATATATATATATATATATATATATGTATATATATATATATATATATATATATATATATATATGTGTGTGTGTGTGTGTGTGTGTGTGTGTGTGTGTGTGTACATATATACATATATGGATGTATATGTATATACATATAAATAAATAAATAAGTAAATATATATATACACATATACGAATATATACACATGTATATATACATATATATGTGTATGTATATATATATTCTAATATATATGTATATATATCAGAATGACATGCGCTTTTTCATTCATTGCAAAGACAGAATAAAAAATAGGAATGTAAGTGATGAATGTAAAAGGTAAGTATTGGCTTAATTAATCATTTAAAACGGCCGCCTGTAAGACTGAAACAGCAAATATCCCTCGGGCTCCTCTAGGCTGTACTGAGGAAAGTTTCCTGTTGGTACTATATATATATATATATATATATATATATATATATATATAATATATATATATATATATATATATATATATATATATATATATATATATATATATATATATATATATATATATATATATATATATATATATATATAACGTTTGTGATAGCAGATTATACCTCAATTTGTGAGTTCAACAGCAACCCGATAATATTCAATTACATTTAATATGAAATATCTATTATTCATTTTTTCATCTATTCCTATCCTTTATCTTCTTGTTTGCTAGAATATAAGTCATTCCATTCATTAATCACTAAAATACCAGATTTAACTAGCCTTATTCACTAAAATTCCAGTCTCTGCTAACCTTATTCAATAAAATACGACCCTTTGCTTACCATTCCCAAACTACCAGGTTCGCTTACCTTGCCCTAATTCAAACATACCGAAATGAGTTCATCCTCGAGAGCACTCTCCACGATGATCTTGGGAAACTTGACTCTCACCGGGACGGAGGGCATCGCCTTCAACACAGACACGAGTCTCCTGGGCCTCAGGCGTCGGACCAGCCTGTCCACCTCCTTGGCTCTCCCACTTCGCGGGAGGAGCACCACCATGGACACGGCGTCCCCTGTAGGGCATCTCCAGCACCTGGGCGCGAAGCTTCTCCGAGTCCACTGGAACGGAGTTGGACACATTTGAAGTTCGTTATAATAACAGGTGATTCATTTTACGATTTCCTTGCATTGTAAGGCAACTTGTTCTGTGTTGGAATTGTGTACATGTTCCCATAAAGAGAGAGACACCTAATGAACACATAATTGATTTTGATTTGCGACAAATCGATACAAACGCAATGAAAATGGGGGGAAATGTAATAACGAAACTGGACACAAAGAAAGATAGGGAGGTTCATTTTGTATAAAGGAAGAACTCTCATACATTACCATATTTGAAATTTCCCGTTTGCGACATCATATCCACTTGGAGACCGCTTTCGGGTTACGAAAAAGTTGTCCTTGTGGGTCCTTTGAGGGTTGAACGGGTATTTCCAAAAGCCTTTGAAGTAGACGGCGTTAGTTAAGACCATTTTAGCGTCTTCAACAAAGGAGGGTTCTATAAGCTTTGGTATTTTCCCTCGCGTTTCGGCGTTGATGAAGGCATTGATGTCAGCAGCGGCGGCGTCGGGCTGATGGCAGATTCAGGTTTGATTATTTTGGTCTCTGGAGTTTAAAGATCCTTTAAAAAAATGTTAAAAACTTGAAAGGATATTTTTCTTGTACAAGGGTCTCTTCTGTACGCGCCATAAAAGTTATGCTGCGTTCGGAACTGCTCGTCTTGCTCGTCCAGACACCTTGTCCAGGACCAACAGGACAAGTGGGCCGCGTTCGGAACCTCCAAGACCCTTTCTGCCCAGAATGCAACCGCTCCAAGGTAAACATATTTTTATTTATTTATTTATTTTTTATTTATTTTTTTTTCATTATTATACTGGTGTCTATTTTACACGCTGCATAGGTTTTGTAACTCCTTTGATGCATATTTAACTTACCTGCAACTGACAAACACAAAAATATCCTTTGATAACACCAATAAAGGGTTATAAATTACCCACCAATATCTTGCGGTTACCTACAACTGTCAATGTTTACATACAAAATTACTGTGACGTCATCTCGTCCTGTTCGCCCAGGTTCGCAGGAGGGCGAGTTGGACGAGCCAGAATACTTGTCCGGGACGAGATTGTGGAAGTTCCGAACGGTCAAAACATCTTGTCCAACTGGGCTGGACGAGATAGACGAGCAGTTCCGAACGCAGCATTAAATCCAGATTAAATTTCATCCAAATCCACAGTACTTTCACAGATGTAATACACAATACCAGAACGGGTATTTTGTGGTCGTAATTAGCAAACTCTTTGAGTTTCATATCGCACGCTAATGCTGTTACCGAGACGTTTGCTAAAAAAAAAAAAAAAAAAAAAAAAAACCCACATACACACACACACACACACACACACACACACACACACACACACACACACACACATATATATATATATATATATATATATATATATATATATATATATATATATATATATACATACGGCAGTCTTATAGCATGAGGATGTGCATTTGTGTTACGACAACTAAATCCATATAAAGGACTTCAAATGCTCTTTTTATAGGCAACAGAACTGTAGCTGTTAAACAAAAGTTACATCAGTTTATTTCTGAGAGTTTTTTCGTGTTTTGTTGCTGTCGAGGAATATGATAACAAATTCCCACGTAGTTTTGAAGGCATTGTAATATAAAGATTCAGAAAGTTTGTACTTTAAATCTGAAACCTAATCGTGATGTTATTGAAACTCTGGAATTATTTGTGGGATTTCCTTTCTTTTTTTTTTTTTCGAGAGTTATTTCTGCAGTTTAAGTATCCCACGACTTATGAAAATGTATGTTGATAAAAGTTTATACACATCTTTAGCATGAAAATGCCAGAATTAGTTTCATTATTCGCAATAATAAACATTTATGGCAACTCGACTTCATCCTTTTTACCTGAATGGTTCGACTAACTTGCTCATTTTGAGCATGGCAGGATTAAAGTACGAGCAAAAGTAAATGCTGGTCCAGAGATGAAATAAAAGTTGATCTGGACGCTGCCATTGCGCATGCGCACTAGAGATCTGGATTAAACTTGAATTCTGGATTAACTTTTATGGCACGTACAGAAGACGCCCTAAAAGCACTGAAGAAGTTGGTTCATTCTACATACATTAAATGATCACCACAGAAGGCTTTTCTCTGTTACTCAAGATCAAAGTAAGTCTGCTGAACAGATCTGCCCTCTTGTACGGAAGGCTTTCACACTGCGCCCGAGGTTTAAGCTATAAGGTTTGAAGTGCTTCACTTTGTTTAAGGCTTAAAAGGTTTTATCACTGTGCCTCGGCTCATATTTCTGTCTTCTCGTACTAGACCAAGATTGCCAGAGAACTCCCTTAACCACTTGATGGAAACGTATCACAAATTGAAATACAATGTCAGGTTACAGAGATTTGTATGTATATACGAAGTGATAATGCAGTGATTTAATGCAAATGTATGTGTAGATTACCCTCTTTTTGCAGAGACATAATAAAAAAATTAGACCATAACTTATTATATAAAGAATGATGTTCGTATCCTCACTGAGCCATGAATCTGTAACTACATGAGTTCTGATATCCCTATTTTGGATATGCTGCGATGTTACAAGTGATGAACATCTAATAGGCAGGAAAATAAAGCTGTAAGCCAAGTGTTTCTTACCCTATTAAAGTCTATTAACTTCACTTTGTCGTCGAGGACTTTTCCCACGCATTCTCGGACGGGAATGGACTGGTCGAAGTATATCCTGTTAGCCGAGTTGATGGTGTAGTTCTGGTTTGCTTCTTGGGAGTCATAGCTGCAGTCGTGTTATTTTAGTAGAAATTATTATCTGATAATGGTATTACTTGCATTATAAAATCATGATCCTTTTTGTTATCATCAAGGTATTCGTGTCCATTCTCTCTCTCTCTCTCTCTCTCTCTCTCTCTCTATATATATATATATATATATATATATATATATAATATATATATACTTTTATATACATATACACGAAAATGAATAAACCAACAATATGAATTTTAAAAATCTTTTTGTTGTTCTTTATAATTTTTGTATACACGTTACTGTGTTAATGTTTTTACACACACACACACACACACACATCACACACACACACACACACACATATATATATATATATATATATATATATATATATATATATCCCACCTGTCTTAACGGTTCACTCGGTAGGTTTAATCGCGTCAACCCACTCACCGCCGTTCGAGGGCCCTGAACAGGGCGAGCGTGTCCTCCTGTTGGTGAGCCGCAGAACCTGCTCCAGCTCCGCCTTCGTGTTGCCTCGGAGCCGAAGTAGGCGAGGACGAGGGCGCTCCAGACGCTGAAGGGCGAGATGAAGTTCCCCCGGAGGGAGAGCCTTGAGTAAGTCGAGGCTGAAGGGGTCGTCGCCTGAGAATCGGGAGCCGCGGGGGCGGCGAGGTGTCGGAGGAGGAGAGGCACTGACAGCTGGCCCGTGACAGGAGGGCGAGGGCGGGAGCAGCACGCACACTCTCATGGTTCTGAAAGGTCATGCACACACTGGTATTTGAATATAGAAACACACACACGCACATATATATATCTTAGTCAAAATATTATGTATTTCTAACTATAGACAAAAGCGAGCCAGATACATTAGCACTATTAAGATATCTGGTCTTATTATTTTGTCGCAATGAACACGGTTTAGAAATAAGCGACTCAGACACGGGTTGCAGTATACACAAAACTATAGGGTGCACAGGAAACATATAACCGATATTGCATGTTCGCCTAACTAATAGATTGCAAATAGACCTTATGAGGTGGGAGGCAAAATGCTGAGAAGAACGGCGCAATATCTTTCAGTCACCTCATCACATCAGCAGTCAACAGTTACCATATGCGATTTGCAGTACCATAAATTCCTTACGAAATCTGAATATTCATATAAAACAGAAAACACCAACGATGGTCTGTGGTGAGACTTTAACAAGCTAGAGATTACTGAGTTAGCGAAGCTTTTCCTGTGAATATTTTACTACCCTCTACATCTGGTTTATTCATAATTCCATCAAGCACACAATAATGATACACTGAACTTACACAAACCGTAGTTTATTGTCTTTTATGCTCTATGTTTGGTGCCACGTCTTTCTGTGTAAGTGTATAATTGTTACAAAACTAAGATTAATTAATACACTACAAATCTGAACTATAATGAAAAATCTTTATCTGAATTTGCTCACAAAGAGATATATGTTTTGGGGGTGATTTGATTCTCATGTTCAGAATTTTAACACGTCATACAGATGAACGTCTTATCATACAGGGTGTCCTGTATTCACTGTTAATGAATGGTTAGTGATATGATATGTTAACACTTTCATTAAGGTATGAAATTATCTTTGAAATTCTGTGTGCGAGACGTTTGTTAAAATGTGCGAGGCCCGACCCAATGAATATTCATACATAAAGATATTCAAATAAAGGCATATATATATATATATATATATATATATATATATATATATATATATATATATGATATTACATTTATTTATCTATCCGGCAGATATGCATTTGTCTGTCTACATTCATATTCGTAATAATTAGGTCAGGCTTCGCACAGTATTAACAAACCGGCCGATGATATACATCAGCATACAATCATACAAAACACCGGTACACAGTGCTCACCAAGAGAGTCTCGACACCAGCACCAACGCAGCGACCTAAAGTGACAGACGAGCGCGAGAAGTCCTCACGCAACGCACTTTCACCTACTACTGAGAGGCGGCTGGGACTCACGCTGATATACATCGAGAGACCGCGAGAGCCGACATTTCATCTGTTGATTATGTTTAGATCTCTGCATTTATTTGGTCTTGCCTGTTCATATATCCTTAGCTCAAAGAATCGGCTCCTAGGGTTAATGAAATCTTATTTTTTATTATCATTATTATATTTATCATCACGATTCCTATAATGATTCCTATGATTATCATTAGCACCATTATTATTATTACTATATTATCATAATCATTTTCATTACTACTATCATTGTCATTATTATTACAGTCATTATTATTACTACAGTTTTCATCATTTTATTATAATTATCATTATTACTATTGCTATCGTATTTCTTATTATCATTATAACTATTGCTTTCATATTATCATTATCACTATTGCTATCATATTGATCCTTATCCCCATTACTATTATCATCGTTATTATTATCACCACGCCACCATCATCATCTTCATTATCATCATCCATTCATTTATCTTTCTTAGTATCCAAATGCACACAAACCCAAATGTACATTACAATAATGCATAACAAGGCACATAATACGTTCTCTACAAACTATATTATTTAATCCGTATCTTACTCGTACAAGAGTTATTCCACTACATCATAGGAATAATGAATACTTATCTGTTTGAGCCTTTGGTTGGTCTCGAAAAAGAGTCGTAACTATTTATTTCTTACATTTTTATAACTATAAAAAAATAAATAAATAATCAGCTAAAATCTTCTATTTAGCACATAGTAAGACCCTGCCATTGTATATCTTTTCGTGTTTGGATTGCAATGGAATGGTAGTCCAGTACATGTTATCTGAATGAAAAATCGTTGTAGAACATACGTAGAGTTGGGTGTCTGTCAACAGAAGGGCGGGTGAGAGCTGCTCTAATAGCAAATAGCTCAGCTAGTAAGGAAGAGGCTGTGACACACGCTGATATACATCCCAGAGAGACCGCAAGAGCCGATATTTCGTCTGTTGATTATGTCTAAATCTCTGCGTTTGTGTGGTCTTCCTTGTTCGTATGTCCTTAACTCAAAAAGTCGCCATTTTGTATTATCTTTATTTTACATTCTCTATTATTATTATTATTATTTCTATCATACTCATAATCATTATCATTATATTAGATTATCATATCATCATTTATTATCATTATCATCATTATTATCATTATTACTATTGCTTTCTTTCCTATCATTTTAACCATTACTATCATCATTATTATCATTATCAATAAAACTGTGATAATCATAATTACTACCATCATTATTATCGCCATCCTTAATATTATCACCGCCACCACCACCTCGTCATCTTAATTATCATCTTTATCATCATCCACTCATTTATATAATGAATAACAAACCAGAAAATAGATTCAATTGATTTAGTCCTTTTACAAACTATGCTATTTAAATCAAACTCGAACAAGTAGAGTAATAACGAATAACGAATAATTGATTTGAGCCTTTGGTT